CATTTTTTAAAAAATATTCTTCACTGCCAAAAAACTCACCAGCAGAGCTAAGAGACAACCCAAAAGTGGGAAAAAATTTTCACCAGCTAGTCCTCAGACACAGGTCTACTATCTAGAATATATAAAGAACTCAAAAAAGTCAGACACCCCCAAATATAAAGACCCAATTCTAAAATGGGCTTCTGAAATGAACAGACATTTTTCAAAAAAAGAAGTAAAAGCATCAAGTAAACATATGAAACAATGTTAAACATCACTGGTCATTCTAGAGATGCAGATGAAAACAACACTGAAATTCCACTTCACACCAGAAAAAATGGCTGCTATCAAGAAATTAACCAAAAACAAATGCTAGTGGAGTTATGGGGAGAAAAGAACCCATCTTCATTGTTGGTGGGAGTGCAGACTGGTGCAACCACTGGAAATCAGTATGTGATACCTCAAACAACTAGGATTAGAAGTCCCATTTGACCCAACTATTCCTCTGCTGGGTATCTTCCCAAAAGAATTAAAAGAATCGTACCACAGTGATATATGCTCACACGTGTATATAGTGGCATAGCTTGTAATAGCTAAAACTTGGAAACAATTGCCCATCAACTGGAGACTGGATAAAGAAGATTTGTTTTTTCTATAAAATGGAGTACTACTCAGCCATAAAGAATGAGAATCTAGAGACATTTATAGCTAAGTGGATGCACATTGAGACTACACTCTTGTGAAATAAATAAGACACATGAGTATTTACCAAATAGTTTCTCTGGTGTGAAAAACTAAAAGTGTAAATAAGGTTCAAATGATATAATTGAGAATGTGAAATAGGAAGAAAATGGCTAAGGGAAAAGAAAAAATGTGAAAAAAAATGGAAAAATGGAAACAAAGTCTTTGTAAATAGGGAACGATGAATAGGGTGAAGGGAGGGCAGGAGGTATGGGAAAAAAACAAGAACTGAGACATATCATGTAAAGGTATGAGATCCCAATGATAAATGTAACTGTATTGTTTGCTTTAAATGTACCAATAAACTTAACAGGAAAAAAATAAAACATGTAAAAAAATGTTCAACATCACTGGTCATTTGAGAGATGCAGATGAAAACAACAATGAGGTTCCATCTCACCCAAGAAAGAATGCCTGCCATCAAGAAGTCAATCAATAAATTCCGGCAGGGGAGAAAGGAACCCTTCTTCATTATTGGTAGGAGTGCAGACTGGCGCAACCACTGTGGAAATCAATATGGAGATACCTCAGAGAACTAGGATTATAAGTCCCATTTGGCCCAGCCATCCCTCTGCTGGGTATCTTCCCAAAAGAATTAAAAGAATCATATCACAGTGATATATGCTCACCCGTATTCAGAGCAGCACAGTTTGTAATAGCTAAAACTTGGAAAAAGCCCATTTGCCCATCAGAGACTAGATAAAGATGTGGCTCTTTAATAAAATGAAGTAGTACTCAGCCAAAAAGAATGAGAAATTAGAGACATTCTTCAGTAAGTAGATGCACATTGAGGACATACTCTTAAGTGAAATTAGTAGGACAGACATGTGTAAATATCATATAGTTTCTCTGGTGTGATAAAGTGTATATAAGGGTCAAAATATATAAATGATATTGTGTAATAGGAAGAAAAGGTCTAAAGGTGTAGGGGAAGTGGGAGGGGTAGGGGAAAGGAAAAATAAGATAAAAGGAAAAACAGAAACTAAGTGTTTGTAAATAGGGAAGCATGGAGGGGGTAAAGGAAGGGCAGGGGAATGGGGAAAAAATAAGAACCACAATACATCATGTAAAGGTACAAAATCCCAATGATGAATGTAACTGTATTGTATAACCTAAAATGTATCAATAAAAATAAATAAATAAGGTAAAATTTATTGAGCACTTACTATGTGGTATCACTGCATTAGTACATTATTAAATCATTGATTCTGATAATAACACTAAGTTGTCAGATTTGTCATCATTCAAATAATATAATTAAGAAAACTCAGAGTCACCTAAATAACTTTTCTTATGTGTGAAAGGTATTACATGCTACAGCTGGGATTAAAATCCAGGAATTTGGGCTCCAGAACCCATGTCTTTAACCTCTATGTTATGCTGCTTCCTATAAAGGAACTACTGGAATGGCGTATGATCTTTGATATTATAGTGAAGGTCTGAAGATATCTCAGTGCCAACATGTTTAAGAAAGACCTTCCTCCCATAATCACCTTCACCTACAGTCTTCCCCAGCATGGTTGATGAAAACATTATCCAATCTGCTTTTCAGGCAAAACACAAAAAAACTAAAACCAACTTTTTAAATTATCTGTGGTAGATACAGGAATATGTTACTCACATCACCCTTCCAAGAAGAAATTGCTGTCCAGCTGTGGGCTAACTCCCTACCCCAATAATTTATACACTTTTCAGGCCATAGAGACCCACTAGTGACTGAAAGAGGCATAAAGGCCTGGTCATTGCTACCTAACAAACTACACTCTGAAAGGCAATGTTCTCACCAGAACTTGCTGTTGATTGGTCCAGGCTTTGTGGTTCTGACTCTGAGACAGACTTCTTTCCTTTTCCCTCTCCAAATGTTAATCCAAATAACAGCTTAGATCTCAAACTCTATTCTGCGTGGGATATTGGAGAAATCAGCCTACAACAGAGGATATGACTCTAACCTTTTCTCAAATCCCACATCCAAACTGTCAAGATCCATTTGACTCTACTTACAAAATTTAGCCCAATGTCCACCGACACCACCGTGTTCCAACTAACATGAGGTGGAATGAGGTACGGCATGTACAGTATAAGGATGAGACCTGGACTCTCAGGGAAAAGCCTCTTGCTTGGTTTTGCAGATTCCCCACCTTATTCCTCTTCTTCAGTCTATGCTCAATGTGAAGCCAACATAGTCCTTTTAAAACGAAGAATCCATTTATGAAAATCTTACAATGAATTCCACCAACATCAGAGGAGAACCTACACAGCTCTCCGTAAACTCATCCCATTGGTTCTCTACACTCAGACCCTGTGCCTGGCTCCTGACCCTTTAGCTATTTGATCTTTTTTACCTATTTGACAAAGGGGCAAAAAATATACACTGGAGGAAAGATAGCCTCTTTAGTAAGTGGTGCTGTGAAAATTAGATATCCACTTGCAGAAGACTAAGTCTAGACCCATATATCTCACCATGTACTAAATTAAAGTCAAAGTAGATCAAAGATCTAAATGTTAAAACAAAAACACTTACCTGCTGAAAGATAAAATAGGTAAAACTCTTGAAGACACAGTACTTTCTAAAATAGAATCCTGGTTACACAAGATATAATACCAAGAATTAAGAAAGGGGGGAATTATATCAAATTAAAGAGCTTCTGCACAGCAAAGGAAACAACCAACAGAGTGAAGAAACAACCTATAGAATGGGAAAAAAGGGCTGGGGACTTAGCTCAGCGGTTCAGTGGCCCACCTTGCAAGCTCAAGGACCTGAGTTCAATCCCAGGTACCAAAAATAAACAAACAAACAAACAAACAAAAGTAATGGGAAAAAATTTTTTTGTAACAGGAATCAAACCCAGTACTTTGCCCTTGCAAGGTAGGCAGCAGCATCACTGAGCTAAATCCCCAGCCCAGGGGAAAAAAAAATTTCTAGCTATTCCTCAGACAGAGGACTATATCAAGAATATATAAAGAACTAAAAAAATTAGACTCCCCAAAATAAAAGATGCAATCTAAAAATGGGCAACTGAAATAAATAAAAACTTCTTGGAAAAAAGTAAAAATGGTCACTGAATACATACTAAATACATAAGTAAAACTACAGTGAAATACCATCTTATACCAGAAAGAATAGCTGTCATCAAACTTTTAATAATAACAAATGCTGGCTTGGGTGTGGAGGAGAAAGGAATTTTCTGCCTTATTCATGGGAATATAAACTAATACAACCACTATGGAAGTCAAAATAGAGATTCCTCAAAAAACTAAAAGTAGAAATTCTATTTGACTGAGCTATCTTCTAGGTATCTTCCCAAAAGAATTCAAGTGACCATATAAAAGGTTACATGAATACACGTTTATAGGAGTACAATTTATAAAAGCTATATCTTGGGAATAATACATATGTCGATCAACGAATGGATAAGGAAATTGTGGTATTAATACACAATTGGAGTAGTAATCTGCAATCAAGAAAGATGAATTTGAGGAATTTTTAGGTAAATTGATGCAACTTGAAAACATATTGTTAAATGAAATAAGTCAAACATACAAGATTAAATATTGCATGGTTACTCTTATGCCAGAAACTGAAAAAGTACACATATATTCAAAGAAAGAGCAAAATAGGAAGATAAGTTGGAAATAGAGAGAAGTTCAAATAATGCTACAAATCACCTATTCTGTTGTTTCAAAAATAATAGATATGCTAATTTGTTTCATTTATAATTCTAATCCCTTGCAGTTCATTGAAAAGAAAGTGTTGTACTGTTACCTCTTTGTTTCTGGTCTGTCTTGTACTCTGAGTAACTACTTTGAAAACAATGATAGGTGCTGATTTAATTATTCTCATATTATTTGTAATTAAATTTTGTTTTATTTTTTCACAATATAAAAAAATTTAAAACACATGAGCCTTTGTAAAGAGAGGCAATCAGATATATTCCAAGCACGTAGAATAGTGCCAGTCATACATTTTTATTTGTAGATTGCATGAATCCTGTATTTGACAAGTTGATCCATGTAAAATAAAGTCACTTCAATTTAATAAACAATTTCATTTCAAATTCATTGGCTTCCTTGATAGAGGTGCACAGCAATCACAAGTTTATTGATACAATATTTTCCTGGTAATTCACTGGAAGACACAATAAGGTCATAGAGACTGATAACTGGAATTTTCTTTTATTACTACTCTAAACACCAGCACATGGATCTAGAAGGCTACTTCTGCTTTGTTTTTGTTTTTGCTTTGAGACATCAAATCACATTGTACCTGTCCCTTGACTTACCTCCAGCTCATCAAGTGCACTTCCCAGAGTGGCTGCCTGAGGTTCTGATGGGGTTGGCATATTATGAATGCCTTGAGAAACATTTGAAATCACATTGAGAGCATTCTGCATTTCTTCACAAACTGTGTCCTTGCTGGCTTTGAGGGAAGCAACATCAGAATGCTCCAAACAAGCTGAACAAATTGAATGTAAAAGAGGAGAATTCTCTTTCAATGTGGCCCGGGCTCCTGCAATTTCATCCCTCTGGTTTGCAGATTTTAAATCCTGAGAAGAAAAATAGAAAGTAGTTTTTTTCCATGGATTATGTGAAAAACTTAGTCACAAAAGCTCCACTTTAATTAAAATAGACACCGAAATATCATCTATAAGTCAATCAAAAGCACCAATTAATTTTATATTCCTTCAAATTCTGGAATTCTACACTAGGAAAGAACATTTCACAAGCAAAGATCACAAAAGTACAAACATACAAAATCTGAGATCTTAACATCTTTAAGTCATATCTTTGAAGTCACTAAAGAACTCTGGCATTCACATTATTAAGTATATTAACAAGAGAGCTTGAATTACATGGATACTAACTACTTTTTTCCACAAATTTTGATAGTTGAATTTAGATTTTTATTAAAACAAAACTAAGTAGGGGCCAGGGATTCAGCTCAATGGTTCCACCACCTGCCTCGCAAGCACAAAAAACCCGAGTTCAATCCCCAGTACCAAAAAATAAATAAATAAAACCAAGTAAGTTAAAAATATTAAATTAACCTTCACACTACTCAACTAGTTTTTAAAATACTAATAAATTAATTCTGGATCTTTCTTTCTTTGATATTTCTCCAACAAATACTGAGCAAGCACTTAGTATTACAAAATTTTTTGCTGGGCTCAGTGTTCAGATGTGAACAATCCCTCAAGGACTCAGGTCAGCAAGAATATTTCTGTGGAGATGACAATTTGAAATAAAAATCTAAATGAAGAACATTACAAACAGAAGAGAAAAGAAAGTCCTAAGTGATAGAAAATCAAAAATAGCTTAAAATATATTGAAAAAATATCTGCCAGCCATTAACCAAATGGTGAAGATTAGTATGTCAGTGACATCATCTGTACACATATTTAGATCATATACCCCTTTACAACATGGCAAAGAATAGCATGTCACTACCCAATCATGAAAATGCAACAACTATAACTAGATAGAGGGACATCCTCAATGATACTTGGACAATATTCCTTAAAAACGTAAGTTGTGAAAAACAAGGTGAATGATAAACTGTCACAGGTTAGAGAACACTTGGGAGGCATAACAAATAAATAAAATGTAGACTGGATCCTAGAACAAGAAGATTTCATGAAAACCTGGTAAAATCCAAGAAAGCTTATCAGTAGTTGATAGTAATGTATTCGTATTTATTTTTTATTGTGGCAAATATGAACACATTAACAATAAAGTAAACTGAGAAAGGTAAATTGAAACTCTATTATCTATGTAACTATTTTTATAAATCAAAAAAATTCTTAAAAATTTTATTCAAAAAATCTAATTCAATAGAAAAAATCTAATTCAGGGAACATTTACAACAGTTTATGTCCTTCACATACAATAGCTTAAATAATCTTCACAAAAACTAGGATAAATGTAATTATTATTCCATTTTTAAAATGAGGAAACTGAGGTTTCAAGAGACTAAGTTCTGTAACCAAGACACAGATAGATTTTTTCTGAGAGATAGACAACAGAGAGAGAGGGAGTCTTGCTTTGTAGTTTAGGCTGGCCTTGAATTTGCTATGTAGCCCAGGATGGCCTTGAACTCCTGGCACTCTTCTTGCCTAGGCCTCCTAAGTACTGGGATGACAGGCATGCACCACCACACCCAGTAGCATTTCTTTATTGTAACCCATGACTATAACTTCGAAGGCCTAATTGAAACAATTGTGTTATACCTTTTCCTGAATTGAAAGAATTTCCCTTATATGCTATAGAAGAATGAGGCTTTGATTTATATATCACATAGCATACAAAGTACTTCTGTATAACATCGTTGAAACACCCTTTGAAAGAGTTAGGCTTGTATGATTAGTCTTATTTTACCTATTTACTGTAAGGAGATTAAGAGACTAAAAAAGATAGACTGTTATCTAAACCTAATTCTTCAGATTGTAACCCTGTGCTTTATTTTCACAAGACTGCTACCTCTGGATAATGTTGCCTGAGGTTAATGAATGGCTGTGTTACTATATTTTTAGTTGTTTCCCTTCTGAAAATGAAGGCTCTCTGCTACTTCATGCAGGCATTGGGGAGCTTAACTTCTTTACAAGATGTAGGGAGGACAGTTAGAAGTAGCTGTCAACCCACTGTTCACAATCACTAATTAGCTAAGAAAAGACATTTTGTGGTTTACTTGACTTGGTACAATTTTCTCCTTATTTTTGGTCTGGGTTCTAGTTTCAGCTCTGTCATTAGAACTATGAACTGAGGAAGTTGTGCATCCTTTTGTGCATTCATTTAAAAAATGGAAATAATAATACTTCTGTCAACACTCTTACAAGATACAGTACATAGCACATCCAAAAAGAGGAAAACAGTAAATAATTATAAAGAGTATGAAACTATTTTCCTTCAATTTATGAAACTGGTATAATACTTTTGTCTTATGATAATCTTACTTCTCACATTCCCCACAATTTCATATCATGACTTACATTTATCATATTGTGACTTAGAGAATCATGCAATATTTATTTATTTTTGTTTTGGTTTTTGAGAGAGGGTCTTGCCATATAGTTCAGGCTCACCTTAAATTCGCTATGTAGACCAGGCTGCCTTCAAACTTACATTAATCCTCCTGCCTCAGCCTCATGACTGCTAGGATTTTTAATATTTAGAAACAATGGACAGCTCCTCAGGGGAATAAAGATAGCAGTATACATATTTAGAAAAAGCTGAGGAAGACTCTCTGTATATTATAATATAATCATAAATTACTATATAATTTCTTCTAAGGTGGCCTATAGATTTTCCTACTTTATTTACAATGGCAGAATTTAGGTAGTTTCTGAAAGGTGACAAATTTTTACAAAGAAGATTAAAAAGTATTTATTTTGCTCTGATGGTGACTTGTGTATCTTACTGTAAACTATGGTGACTTAATGTTGTAAAAACATTTGAATTTTTAAAATATGCACACATTTCGGCTTTTGAGCCCATACTTTGTCATCTCTGCCCAAGGCAATTACACAGTCCTTAATGAAACTGCTATCCCAAACAGCAGCTGTATGAAGCCTGCCAGAGAGGACAGTGTTACTGAACACAGCAAAAAATAATATATTTTGACAGTGCATAGGAGAAAGAGAGGCAAGTTGCAGAGTTTAGTAAGCAAAATTAAAAAGAAAAATCATTTGTCTCAAATCCATAATAAATTAATGTAGTAAGTAGACAGAGTTAAAAGGGAAACTAATGACTACCGTTCTCCTAAACAAAAGGTTGTTGTGGGGGTATTTGTGTTTCTTTCATTTTGTTTTAAATGATGATACCATGAATTCAAAGGTTCATATATGGTCTGTTTACACTAAAATTTTAAAACAGGTCAAAATAGAAATTAAATGGTCAGGTCAGTTAGGGATTTCTCTAGATAGAAGAGTATACAGAATTCAGCTACTCAAGAATTGACACCTAATTTATATCATTTTTAAAATTCTCCAGAGAAAAAGGCTCAAATGAGATTCCCAAGTTAAGGAGACATTAAATGCTTCCAGCTGATGAAGAAACTTACAGATGGAATTATAAAGACTTTACAAAGCTGGGCAAGTAGGTAGGGAAGCAACACATGGGTTTTAACTCTGTCGAGAGAACAAAATATATTTAGAGATTTTAAAGATCACCTAATAAAAATGGAGTCTCTAAGCTATCAATTAATTTATACAACCATTCATTCAACAAATATTGTTGACTCTCTACTACAAATGTGATAGCATGTTAAGTTTTAGGAATTCAAAGATAAAGAACTCATAGACCAGAAGGGGAGACAATAAATTTGTATAGTAACTGCTACAGCTTGTATATAAATGTCCCATTGCCACCCCCAAAGCCTCATGCACTCATAGGTGGGGCTTTTCAGAGTTGGCTGGATCTAGGCTGTGTGATACTGGGATTGAGGGTGTGTAGTACTAAATTAGTCCAAGGATTGGAATTATCATACCTCTGTGTAGTACTGCCCAAAAGGCTGGTAGTCTGAATAGATTAAAAAGGAAAGGCAGGCTGGCTGCTTGCTGCTGCCTTCAGCCTGCCACACCAGGAATTGCTTATCCTCTGCTATACTCAACTCCCATGCCACCCTACCTTGGAGCCAGGCAACCATGGATTGTAAGTTCCACAGACTTAATCCAAATAAACCTTATCTCCTTTAACTTTGGGTGTTGGGTATTTTGTCTCAGCAACAAAAAAAGTAACTAAGATAAGAACTAAAATTAAGCCCAGCATAAAGCTCTCCAACTTGAGGAAATTAAAAAAAATTTATCAAAAGTGAATCTTTCAATTTTTTCCAATTTTTGATGTAAAATTCATAAAAATTGCATAGATAACATGATTTGATATCAGATGATTATTACAAGTTAATCAATATATCCATCACTAAAACATTAGCATATGTTTGTGTTGGTAAACACTTAAGATCTATTACCAAATTTCAAATAAACAAAACAGTATTAAATAGTACCATGCAGTAATTTTACTTTTGGCCAATATCTTCTCATTTCCCCAATGTCTCACTACTAGAAACCCCTGCAAAATTGTTTCTATGAATTTAACTCAGATTTCAAAGAGAAGTGAGACCATAATTTATTTGATTTTCAATGTCTGGTTTATTTCACTTAGTATAATTTCCTCCAGGTTCATGAGTTGTTGTAAATGGCAGGATTTCAAAACAAGTGAATCTTACGTAGTGAATAGAAGTTATTCTTCTGAACAATAAACAACAAAACAATGACCAAAGGAAACAGTACATGCAACACAAGGCCTGATGTTGTTTTCATCCATGAGCACACTTGCGGAACAAGATTCAAGGGCCCAGACTGGGAGGGCAAAACGCAGAATCACCACACAGACTCTGGGAAGATTTCTGGAACACTTCCGTTTTATTGAGGAAATGTACAGACTTATATAGGGTAAGGCGGGGGTGGAGCCAGGGTGGCACTATAGGATCGCTATTAGCTAGGGTAAGGCAGGGGTGGAACCAGGGTGGAGTCAGGATATTTGGCACATCGTT